GCAAAACATTTGAATGAATAACAGGAGTAAAATTTGTCGAATACAGATAATTCAATGTATTGATGACTGTACTCGATTCCGTTTGCAAGTTAATGCTGGTAAATGCAGTAAAAATAACAGACGAATGAAGAAAGCATGTGATGAGCATAAAGGCGAAAAAGACTCTTTCTGCCGATTGACGGGGTAAAGGTGGTGCATGCATTCCCAGCATGATTCTAATCAGATCTACAATTCGCCAATTCTGCTCATCAAAATGGACGATATTTGGAAAAAGCCACGTTATCCCAAGTAGGGCCACAATTGCCATCAAGTACGACAATCTTAATTCTACCGAAAATTTCGTAGCATCGTCTGTTAAAGTCGGTGTCACTGCTGAATAGTAGATTTTTCCAAAACTGTGCTCAATGTACCTGATCATTTTCTCCATACAGGAATTTATCGCCCTTCCTGATTGAACCCCGACAAAATTTAGCTGACTATAAACTAAGCCACGTGTGAGACCAGTATTTTTGTCCATCGTACATGACGTTACGTCCCAACTCGTTTTATTCGAGATAATTTCCAAGACACGAAAATTCATTTCTTTGGACAGGATTTTTACGAGCTGATAATCGGGACCCTCTAGTTTTAAAACATGACCTGATTCGTTTCGAGTAATTGAGACGTAAGGTGGGTAGTGGAAGTACCCAACTTTCATTTCGTAACCGTAAAGATTCATCAGCTTATCAGGAAATACCTCGAAAGAAATTTTCGAGTTAATTCGGAGTTTTGTAAATCGAGCAGTAAAGGGATTAAAATAATGTACTACTAAATCCGTTTCCTTTGAACTGAAGTGTTCGTTTCTACTTTTCTGTTTTATTACTTCCAGGATCGTCAGGTCCAAAAATTTGTTCATCCACATAAATTTGAGAAACTTTCGATAGCTTTCACTCACTGTACATTTTCTTACAATTAGGATTTTCGGTGTCTGTTTGGGTAGCACCAACTTTGTTAAGAAGCCTCCCAATGCAAAATCATGCGGTTGAAGTTCAGTTTCGGAAAAAAGGACAATCAACGTTGATCTGGAGTTTATGAACATCGGCATAAGGATTAATTGTAGAGTACGATTTTCCGTTGCGTTTTTATAATCCACGATAACTACTGGTAATTGTTTTGCAATTGCTGACAAATCGTAGTAATCGTCAGTGTTATTAATTAGACACATAATCTGCCTAATTTTTGAATCATCTTCAACTGTTTTAATCAGAATGGAGGATATATCAATGTTTCTTGACAATAGGAGTATATCAGCTGGGTAAAGTAGCAAAACAAGTAATACAAAAAATGCCAAAGCCATTCTGAGGAACTCTTTCTTTTCTTGTACAACACTTTAGCTGAACTTTAGAGCGAATGTTTCGTATTCTGCTTACCGACAGCACTTTAATCAATATTTTTCTAATACTCTTAGGAAAAGATTACGATCTTCTATTTGTCCTGCTACAAAAATGTGAAATCAATTCACCAACAAATGCAACAATTGCAAAACAAAATCCAATTATCAAAATAGTAAGAACGTTTTGCAAAACCTGTAGATTTGATGCATCATTTTCGAAATTTAAAACATCAGTCATAGTGCTTTTATCACCATTGCTATTAAAATACTTTCCTTCCCATGTGTACGGAATTCCAGTCTGTTGTAATCTGGTGAATATCTTCCGAAATTTGGTCGCGTACGGAAAACCAGGTTCACACAACAGACAAATCATCAGATCAGCTAAATATTCCTCGACCCTGTGCATGAGAACAGGAATATGATCTTTTCCAGCACTGCTGATTGCCAAATCAACTTGTGTTGAACGCATAAAACAAGTAACATTCCTATGCTTTAGCAGATAGTCAATACACTCCGAATCCGTATTGACAACTTTCGAAGCCCTTCGCACATAATCAGCAACTTTCACATCGTCAAGGGGAAATAATTTCAAAACGTTCGAATAGATAACTGGAGTGAAATTTGACGAATATAAATCATTCAAAGTATTGATGACTGTATTCGATTCCATTTGCAAGTTAATGCTGGTAAATGCGGTAAAAATTACAGACGAATTGAGAAAGCAAGTGATTAGCGTGAAGGCGAAAAAAATTCTTTCTGACAATTGACGGGGTAAAGGTGGTGCATGCATTCCAAGCATAATTCTAATCAGGTCTACAATTCGCCAATTGTGCTCTTCAAAATGGAGAAAAATTGGAAATAGCCAAGTTATCCCAAGTAGGTATACAGTTGTCATCAGGTAGGATAGTCTTAACTCTACAGAGATTTTACCATCATCGCCTATTATTGTCGGTGTTACTGCTGAATAGTAGAGTTTCCCAAAACTGTGATCAATTACCATGGTCCATTTCTTTGAACAAACACTTTCCAATTTTCCAGATTGAACACCAATGAAGTTGAGCTGATTAAACATTAAATCTCGTAGAAAACCATTATTCTCTTCCTTTACGCACGATCGTACGTCCCAACCAGTTTTATTCGAAACAACTTCCAAGACTCGAAAATTCATCGCTTTGGACAAGATTTTTACCAACTGATAATCGGGTCCGTCTAGTTCTAAAACATGACCTGATTTGTTTCGAGTAATTGAAACATAAGGCGGGAAGTGGAAGTACCCCACCTTCATTTTGTACCCATAAAGATTCATCAGCTTATCAGGAAACACCTCGAAAGAAATTTTCGACTTAATTCGAAGTTCGGTAAATCGTCCAGTAAACGGATTAAAATAATGTTGTACTATTGAATCTGCTAACAAATCCGAAATGAAATATTCGTTTCCACTTTTCCTTGGTATTATTTCCAAGATCGTCAGGTCCAAAAATTTGTTCATCCACATAAATTTCAGGAACTTTCGATAGCTTTTCCCCACTGTTACTTTTTGTATCATTAAAACTTTTGGTCTCTGTTCAATTTGAATCAATTGGGTCAAGAAGTTTAGAAGCTGAAAATTGTTTGCTGGAAATATTGTTGCTGACAAAATTACAATTAACGTTGATCGTGAATCTATGAACGTTGGCATTGTGATTAATTCCAGAGCCGGGTTTTCTGTTGTATTTTGATAATTGATGACAATTGACGGTACTTTTGTTGCTACTGCTGACAAATCGTAAAATTCGTTAGTGCTATTAGTTAACCAGGTAATCTGACTAATTTGAGAATCATATTCAAATGTTTTAATCAGAAAGGAGGAAATATCATTCTTTGACCATAGGAGTCCGGTAGTTGTGTAAAGAAGCAAAGTAGGCAATACCAAAAATGCCGAAGACATTTTTTTTTATTCAACTAAGAAACTCTTTGTTTTCTTGTACAACACTTTAGCTGAACTTTACAGCGAATAGTTTCTCATGGAAATATGTACTTTGTGTTGTGCCATCCACTTTCTATACAATCAATATTTTTCTAATATTCTGAGTAAAAGATTAGGATTTACAATTTTTATGCTGAAACTTTGCTAATAAATATTTATTTCTCTTAGGTGATGGATCTATTTCTTATTTGTCGAGGAAACAATACAAACAATACGAACCCTTGACCTTTGTAAATGAGGATTAACTCCGAGAACCCAGGTAACATTTTCTTTCTCCCTTCATCGCATGGAAGCTACTATAGATAAAAGGATAATACTTGAAATACAAACTCAAGAGGTAACGAACTTATTAGAGTACAGGTGGGTAAAGGTCACATAGTACAGAATGTTTGCCTTACCTAAAGGGATAACACAGTGATAAAGAAGAAAAGTGGTTTATCATAAAAAGTAATAAAGATATTTGTCAAACTATCAATTTCACCGTTTGTCGGTAATTATAGAATTCACTGTCAATTTTGAACAAATAATCAGCTGTATCGTCCGGTAACGACGTCAGAATTAAAATATTCGGAATTTCTATATTTTACATAGAAACATATTTTCAACAAAATATCTAACATTATAAACAATAAGATAATTATCTTATTGTTTATAATGTTAGATATTTTGTAAGCCTATTAATACTCTCAAATTTTGAAAGATTCAGGATTAAATTTAAATAATGTCCATAGGATTCAAAATGTCAAATTAATTAATTATTACTAATTAACAATAAAAATTATCAACAAAATAATTATAATAATTATATAAAATATTAAAAACAGAAATAATTAAATAAAAATTTTGATTATTTGTTTAACTAATTAATAGAATATTTTAGAACAAATTGTTATTAATTAATAGAATGTTTAAATAAAATTATCTATAGCTTATTGTTAAATAACAAATTTATGTGAAGCTACTATATTTATTTAATGAAATAATGGTCAAATTGTTAATTAATTAACTACCTTATTTTTATTTACTTCAATTATTAAATTGTAAACAAACAACATTCGAATATTGTAAATAATTACAAATTTTCCTCCCCTAAGAAAATTGGTAGTGGGAATTGTTACATAAATATACGTGTTTCTTAAGGAAACCTCAGTTTAGAAAAATCAATCATCAAAACTCTCATAAAAACCTCCAAGTCACAAAATCAATCTCCTAGTTGTCAAAAACAAATCTTCAAGTTCTTTAAGATAAAATTTTCAAGTCTCAATTTCAAGTTTATTTAAATTTTAATCTTTCATGTTTTAAAGTTTTAGATTCAAAATTTTCAAGTTACAACAATTCTAACCTCAACTTCAACAATTTGACTTTAACTATATGTAAATCGTCTTTAATAATAGCAAAATATTATAATCCGAGATTAAGTATTGAACCATTTATTTGTTTAAAAGAAGATCTCATTCTTTTTAAATACAATATTACTTATTTTCAATTGAGCCAAAGAAATAAGAAAATACTAGAAAGTGTTCCTAAGCTATTGGATGTAAAAATACAGGCTTAAAAATAATTTATTAATTAAATTTTAATATTTAATTATAATTTCAAACAAGTATTGTTGTTCACCATATTTTTAGGACGTAACACAGCATTGTTCATTTAAATATAAAATGTAGATTATAATCCGAAAGTAAATATTCTACTATAAATACAAACAAAAAAATAATTATAGTAATTAAAATAAAGTAATTTCAAAAAACTTTGGATGTAATTGTTAACAGCGTTATTAATTTTGATTTACTGGGCCGAAAGTAGATACAAACTTTCTTTCTTTCTTTCTTTTAACATTTAGTAACGAATAGTGATGTCATTTCAGTAAATTTTTTGTTAATCTCCAATTTCTCAATCTTTTTTGTTTTACGATGATATCTCCTCAGCACTCCGATTATAAATATGTGTATTAATTCCAGTACGCTAATTATTGATCCACCGACAAACAGTCCAAATATACCACCAACATAGACTGAAAAAAATAAGTAAATATAGAAATTATTATTAGGTACGAAATTTTAAGAGTTCATCAATTCGTTCAGATTTTTTAATCACGAGAATGATACATTGTCCAATTAATAATTTCTTAATTATAAATTACCAAGTAAGTATAGCCTATTGAAGACCACTTTTCTTTTATAGCGAATACTCGTCGGTCCCACATGATGAATATCAATTTTAATATCGTCCTTAGATTCAATTGGAATTACATTGAATTTAGTGTCATAATAAGTATAACTACAAGGCGAAGGACAATCGCAGTGCATAATATCATAATTTCTTTCATCATAATCAGCGTCACCTGGCATTTGATAATCTTTAAATCGATCTGCAATGAAGAAATCACCTATAGTTTCAAAATTATTCATTATAGAATAATTCCTAAAATAATTACTAAAATAATTAATAAACTAATTATAATCATACAAGTATTTCCATATAGACAATGTAAATCTCGAAGTTCGCAGTCTCGTGTTGTGTCTGCAAAAATCCTAATGTTATGAAAGTTTAGATTCTATGGGGGACAAAATGAGGGAAAGATGCAAAAGCTAAACTCACTTGGTGGGAAATAATACGAAGGATTACAAGCACAATATTTTATAGCATGCATTTGTTTACATTCAGCTATACAAGTATCTAAGCTGTATTTCCTTCTCGTGGTGAATTTATTTCTTCTACAGGGAATTTTACTCGAGTCCAAGTCCAACACTTCCCGAGTCGCAAATTGCGAAGAACATTGAATTCTCCCATTCAAAGAGAATCCAGTCATAATCTCTTGTCCCCAATTAGGCCAACTTTGTGTTCCATGTATAAGAAGTATAATTCGTCGATACTCCTCTAAGTATATAAGAAATTAAGTGAAAAAAATTTCACGAAAAGTGAAATAACTTTTCGTGAAGTTTAAAAACTTACCATCATCATTAGCTAGAACATACTTGTGCTGAATATCATGATTAATATCGGGTGGGAATTTTATTTTACCCAACTGAAATGTAAACTTTAGACCACTTTTACTTCCATAGCCTGCAGTTTTGTTGGGTACAAATTGTTTGTTGTATTCATCTTTCTCAGAGCGTGCCGAATTGAATGAATAACAGAAGCCATAGAGTGTTTTTTGCAAGTGAAATATATCACAGCAGGATTCATTTCGACGATTCCAGGAGCAATCGGAAAATAATGACTTACAATCGGGTACTGTTCTGTACAAGATATCCGTTATGTTGAAATCTACTCCGATAGAAAAAGAAGAAAAAGAAAAAGAGAAAGTTAATCCCTAGGATATCACACCTTAAATAAATTTTCTGTCAAATATTAAATTCTTTTACAAACTTGCTAGTTCTGAAGAAGCGATATCCACACCCTGCAAATGTCTCATTTCAACTAAATTTCCAAAAACCGAGGATGACAAGATATTCATTAGACGTCGATATAATATTATTGTTTGCGAATTATTTGTTGGGATTATTTCTTTTTCCAATTCCAATGCTTTCGTCCAGTCAACTCTCTTCTTGGGGCAAATTGTCACACTTGGGAATGGTACGAATGCAACTCGATAACTCGACGAGTCAATAACAACTTTAGTTGGAGCAGCCTTTTGGAAAAGAAGAAATCTTACTACTTAAAACAAAATTCTACCCAAAATTAATAATTTCACGTATGTGATGAGAATGTATATAAAAACTGAAAAAAATCCTTGTGTACATTTTTAAGACTTACTTGATACTCAAAAATAATTGTAGACATTTCTTGAGTTGTAAAATAGATGAATATTGAGAGAAAAATAAACCAAATTATTCTATCCACTGTATGTAATTCATGATCGAAAATATATCTCACACCATGAAGACTACAACGATAAGCAATAAATTTCGATAAACATTCTTTATTAATAAATTTCTCTTTACTGTCAACTTTTTTAATCGCTTTCTTAACTCTTGGGGGAATTTTCGAATTTTTCTTCTTAATCCAATTAACTAATTTGATCCTTTTCTTCAGTTCTATTTGTGTACAATTTAAAAAAAATAATTTAATTCCAAATAGATCCGCGTTTATTTTATAAAATTATATATACTGACAAAAAACTTACCCCTAGGAAAATTAGTGCCTTTAATATTTGTTCTTTGCATTTTACGAAAGAGAGAAGAAGAAGCTCTATTTCTTGAATTAAGAATAAAATAATTTCAACTCAAGTGATGAGAAGAAAAAATTTGAAAGTAAAGGAAAGTTATTTAAACTTGAGAAAATTAGTATTTGGTGTAATCAATAAAACGGTGGGGTTATTTATTTACACATTTAGTTAAATTAATCCAAATTCAAAAATGATTGATGGAGTACGGTAAACATTGCACTTAATTTTTCCCCTCTGACGCATTAAGCTAGCAAACAGAGGGAATATTTTATTTATAATAAATAAATAAAGTTATAATAAAAATAGTTAAGAAAGCAACGTCCATTTCTTTGGTTTGTGGTTTTCTCTATTCTCACTGACAATAATAGGAGTGAAAAAAAGAATGGTAGGGGAGGTATAAATATGGGGAATTTTACTTTCAAGGGGTTATGACACTCTAGAGGTCGAAAAAATAGGTGTTTTTGAGAATTTTTTTAAAGCAAACTACGAATAGGCAATCACAATTATGATCTGAGGACTTTATTGTACATTTATTAAAGTGTAAAAAATATAAATATTATAAAATTTTATTGAAATTTGTGGCGTTGATTTTTCTAATCTGGTTTTTGGCGTGAAGGGTTTGCGGCCACATACCACCCGTTCCTGTAAATTTTGAAATATCATAATTATCAAAATTGTTTCTAATTCCTTATTACTGTTACGATCCTAATTATTATATCCCTAGTGTTTTCCCGATTTTATTTTAATATTAATTAAAATAGGGACGGGGTTTGGTTTTGAAATATGAAAATTGATGAAAAATAAGAGATGAACACGTGTTTTCTAATATGAGTCTATAAGTGGTTTCTACCTTGAACAATGGGTGATCCTGGTCGTTGAAATGCAAAGCATGAGTTAGAAAAGGACAGTGATATATTTGTGTCCTTGTCTATCTCATGCGTCTCGTTCGCGAACGACATTCGCGAACCTATTGTGCGTTGGACTTAAGTGGATGCAGTATTGTCATATTGTGTGACTTGAGACAGGAACTATAACAGCAAATTTGACTTCCAGATTAACTTTCAAAAATGCACTTTTGAAATACACGTAGAGTAAAGGACCACCACTAAGACTGGGTTTTTAGAGCACTGTGTCGTGAAGAACCACTTGTTATTGATAAAATTTTTAGACTGAACATCGTTTGATAGTCTGGTCCTTCTTATACCAAAATTTGCCTGTGTATTTTAGAAATTGTACGTGTTTCCATGTATTTTAGGAATCGTCCAAGTTTTCATGTATTTTACGAATTGTACGAGTTTCCATGCATTTTAGAAACCCCTTTGTTACTGGAACACTTGTGGTGACTCACTATTAGATCGCACGTGTACATTCCCTATTACTCATGTTATTTTATAATTTTGTTATTAATTGTTTATAATTTGTTACAATTTGTTATTTATAATTATAATTGTTTAACTTTGTTATTAGTTAATTAAAATTGTTTAAATTTGTTATTATTTATTATTACAATTCTGTTGTTGTTGATATTTATTATATTACAATTCTATTATTTAATATTTATTATTACAATTTATTATTGTTTATGTTTATTATTACAATTTATTATTTCTTAAAGTTTGTTGTTAAAATTGTTATATTTAACTATTTATTACATTTTGTTATTATTTGCTAATATTTATTATTACAATTTATTATTGATTATTATTGTTTATTATTAATATTTATAGTTATTATTTATAATAATATGTAAATAACAATTTTTGTTATTAACTTTTATTATGATTATTACTATTATTATTATTATTATTAATTACCATGATTATTATTATTATTATTTCGACTATAAAGTGAAAGTTTTTCATGTGAAAAATTTTGTTTAACGTGCAATTTGTCATATTTCCTTATTCTTTCATGTAAACAACACTTTTTTGTGATACGCAGTGAATTTAATCACATGTTATTTCCTGTAAAAATTGAAATTTTTTTCAGGTGCAAGTTGTGATACGCAGTGCATTTAATAATATTTTGTTATTATTTTTTGTGACTATTTTGAGAGCAAGAAACCATTGAGAATAGATTTCAGTTACAATTTGATGAGTATAAACTTTCGCAGGTATATACATTGAACTTAGATTATGGATGTGTTAGGATTGGATGCTTATCTAAAGCCAGACATGACTGACATGGATATCATGGATAAATTAATAGAATTGTAATAACAAGTTAATAATAAAAGAGGATGGAATATTATAATTTAAAATCCAAATGGAATTCCAGACAGGAAAAGAAGAAAACATCGTACCATTAACTAAATCTCTTTATTGCTCTAAACTCGTACCTTAATCTCTTTAAAAGTACACTTGTAGCTAAAAATGAGTTTATCCATGAAACTCGTGCATATTAAAATTGCACACCTCTTTTTTTCTCCACCACCACGTCCTCCTCCCGCACTTCCATCTTCTCCTTGCACAGCAGAGAGTTTCAAGAAGATCGCCAACACGATTACTCCAAACATCCATTCATAGATAAACGTGTCTAGGTTTAAAATGAGTGAGTGAATGAAGAAGTGTAAAAAGGAAAGTTTCGAGAAGAAAATCTCGATTTGGTCCACGACGAAGGATCGAGGTCCGAAAGTTGGGTTATAACCAAAAAAATTATTTATTGGTTTTTCTTTTTTTATTTTTTGGTCTTTAGAAGCTCTCTGATTTGACGAGGCTATGCTGTAGTTGCAGACCCTCAATCAAATCAAGACGAGGCGGCGATTGTGCGACATTTACTTTTCTCTCGCGAAAATAATCGCATCTCTGCTTTTGACTGTCAACGGCCGGATGTCGACTTGCTCTTGGACTCCTGCCATTCTTCTCCAAACGCTCGTCCTGCTCACTTGTTTGTGCAATACTATCGGGAATTGGCAACGGTTTCGCCACTCCGATTCTCACAACGCCCTTCGGTGCACCCTTCAGGGCCTGCACCGCTTGGTCAAGGGTCGCATTCTCCAAAGTGATTTCGTTGACGAATAGTAGACGATCGCCAGGTATCAATTGACCGTCGACTTGAGCAACTCCCCCCGGTACCAAGGATCTTATTACTATCACAGTTTCGTTGGGATTCATTGGATCCTGAAAAATAAACATTTTTATTATTTATTAAAATAAATTCTATTCAATGACGCTGCAGTTAATTTCAAAGATTGTTTACCTGATAATCTAAAATAGAAAATCCAAGGCCTCTCTCTCCTTTAACAAGCTCTATTATTTGGGGCTCGGAACTCCACATTGCGAGGCCCGTCAGCGGCTCCAAAGATCTTGACTTTATTTTATTGAAACTGGCATCGGTGACGGTCGCCGTCGTCGTGGCCGATGCCAATGAACCATCGGATTTAGCCTTCACGAGTCGATCCATCGATGGTAGTAAATTTTGCAAAGAACCTCCGAGAATACTCTAAAAGTAGAAAAGCATTCGATTTTAGTGTCGTTAGACTATTTTACTATCTAAACTATTTCCAAATAGTTCAGATTCTTTACTTTGCAAAATGGAGTGAAAAAAGGAAATTTATTTTCTACCCTAGTTTGAAAAGCAGCCTGATGCTGGGCCGTGTCAATTGGACAAAGTGGATCTTGCGATTTGATATTTCGTCCGCACACCATTCTCACATGAACGGGTAGTTCCTTTAAAACACTCACGACCTCCATGTGATTAATTCCCAAAAGTCGATAACCATTGACCTCCAGTAATTCATCACCAGATCGTAGTGTATCATTCTGTCCAACTGGACCTTGAGGCAATATTGAGCGAATATAATGATGCGGCCTCACTTCCTGTCCGTTTTCCACATCAACTGTTCCTTCCAAGCTTATTCCCAAACCGCTTCCTTCGGCAAATTTCTTCAATTGCGCCACCTAGACAATAAATATTTTTCCATTACTTCTGTTCTGCATTTCTAAAAAATTCTCCCTCAGTCCTATCATTTAATTTTTTTTAATCATATTCGAAAGTATTTATCATATTCGAAGTTTTTATAAAAATTGACACTTACCACTATTTCCACGTCGGGTCCGACTATTTTCTGCCATTTGGATTTAATTGCAGCTTCAATTTGAGGCGATAATTCCTGCGATGGATCGCTTAGAAGTGCTTCCACATTTGCCTCCGGCGATGAATCGCGTTTCTCAGCTTCTTTCTCCATTTCGTGAAGAATCGCGCTATCGATTGTTGTATGTGACTCGCCCTCTGCTTCGATTTCAGTCGTGGATTCTCCATCTTGCTGTAGAAATAAATTTCGAAAATTTTAAAATTAATTTCAATGTAAAGACTTAGGACTTTTAACTAATTACATTTTTTTAAAATACTTTAATTGTTGTAGTAAGTGAATTATTATTTTGAAGCGACTTTATAAAATTTTAGTATTTTTACTTTTTTTCTAAAACTTACTGCAGTGATTGGAAAAGTAGCGAGACTCGTAATCGATGGAGAACTCGGTTGTGGTAATCGAAGTTCACTGGCGGCAATTGCTTGCTGTAATTGCTCGTATTTTGGACCACGTAGATACCTTTCTAAACAAAGAACAACAGTGTATCCAGTACTTCTTAAAACTTCAACAGCCTCATGATTCGAGTAGCCCTGCAACGAGTGTCCATTCACTTCCACAATTCGATCGTTTATCTGTATCTTCCCACTCAAATCGGCCGCACTTCCTTCGCTTATACTTTTTACAAAAATACCCGAGAGCTCCTCTGAAAATTCAAAATTCCCCATCAATATCCTAATCCCTCGGAAAATTTTTCATTTCTAAATCCAAAAAAATATTTTCTATTAAAATAAAACAAACCAAAAAATAAACCCTAGAAAAAAAGACTGAAGAATCTAAATCGTAATTCAGGTGAAGTTTAAAGAGTCACCTTTCGAAAAGGAATTTTCGTTTTGTAAAACTTTCGATATTTTTATCTTTTGGTAAAAAAATACTTTCGTATTTCAGATATAAATTTTAGATACAAAAAAAGGAAATTATGAGAATCCTTACCTTTTTCACAAACGTAACCAGCGATCGTGATGCCGAGACCGTAACTATCTTTCTTCAACTCGACGGTGAAGCGTTCCATTTCAGGCAAGGAGTCGACGTCAATTGGATCCATTGAGAGTGCCGGAAGGTCTTGAATTTGAATCGGACCCGTGAGCGTTGGAATGAAGGGCGCCGATCCAATGGGCGTCGGATTTCGCACGACGTCCATAATAAGGCTCGGTCTCGTCTGAAGCACAATTAGTAATTCAATCAGTCTGTAACCTTAGCATTTACTTCACGTTCTCGATTCAATATATAAGAATGAAAAATTCATTTTTTCGAAAAATATATATTATTTATATTTCTTAGAAAATAGAATTTATTTTTTCAAACTCTCATTTCGATTGTAAATCGGGTGATTTCATTTAAATTTTTTATAATCGAGTCCATCGCATGTCGAGGAATTAAAATTAATTTATTCAAAACTGAAATAATTTTTTAAAAACTAATATTTACAAAATATTGGTTATAATTTTTTCCAGGAATTTAAAAATTTTACTTTCAATATGCAAAAACTTTTGTGAATTTAATTATTCTTGAAAATTACAACTGCACTTCTTTCTATTCTTGAAATATTTCCTAAAATATCAAACTAAAATTCTTTTTCAAATTAATTCTTATAAAAAAGAAGTTATACAAGAATTCAGTTATTTAAATATGGGGCATTCAATTTCAAAACGAACCATTTCGAAAACGCTGAAAAATTCAGTGGAAACTCCCCTTAAATTTAAAATAATGTCTCGAATTTCTGAAAATTCTATTTAAAAAAATCCCTTAAATTCAGTGTAATCTCCCCTTAAGTTTAAAATAATTTCTCGACTTTTTGAAAATTCTATAAAAATAAACCCTCAGATTCAATGGAAATTTCCCTTATGTTTAAACTAATTTCTCGACTTTTTTAAATACAGCACTTTGGAGCGCTGTATCTTCAAATATACGCAACACTCGCTTACTAATGCGTTAATTTACGAGTGTTGACAATATTGAAATTTTGTTCTCCAATGGAGATTGACAGTTTGGGTTAAATAACCAGTTATCTATATTCAGATGATGATCACACACACACGAAAAAAAATGCTTACATGCATTTCAATGTCTGGATCCTGGGTATACATGTATCCATTGTCATAGTTGGAATCAGTTTTCGTGTGACGGACATTGTACGTTTCGGGAGTCGAATGAATCAAATGCCGATCGAGTTCATCCGGATCGCCGAGAATTTTCGTTGGAACAATTGGAGCGTGACTGCCGAGGGCCTAGTAAAAAAAATAATCAAAATTGAAATTTTAAAAATTCAAACTCTGATGGATGAAAAGAAAAACATTTTTTTTCCTTTTCTCGTTACCTGATAATCGGGGGAAGTAGGTTCGACTGGTCGCGCAACAACAAGTCTCACGTGAGTTCCAGATTGTCTGAGAACAGCGGCGACTTGCTCGCTGCCCATTCCCCGCAAATTGACATCGCCAATTTGCAGAATATGATCTCCACTCTGCAATCTATTGTCCTAAAATAATACAATTAGAATATTTTTTTTATTTTTACTCAATTATCACTCTGTTGGTGCAAAATATTTTTTCTGCCTCTCTTTAAAAAAAGAAATTTCACTGAGGGGGAAATAGTCTAAATATTAGTTCCTAATTTTGAAAATAAGAAGCAAATTGTTTAAGATAAAAATTAATGAGTAAAGAGAGTGGGAACTTTAGACTTACTCGATCGGCGACACCACCGGGGAGGATAGTTTTGACGACAACTCCAGTGCTGCGCCCTCCGATAATTCCAAACCCAAGACCGCTGCCATCATTGATGAGATTTATTACTTCTACTTGTGCCCACTCGGTGTTCAACTGAAAAATGATTAATCCTTGTTGTAGCTATATTTTAAAAAACTAAGCTCCTAAAACTTACCACCATGTCAGTGCCACTCTTAGCGATTTCGCTAACGGCGGACGGAGCTGTTTCGACAACAGGAACTCCAGAGGCGGCAGTTGTTGTGGATATTGATGTTGGTGCAACAGTAATTGTAGCTGCAATGGGAACAATTGGTTTTGATGCACTCGATGATACTGCGGAAGGAAGTGGCGGCGCTGATTGATCCTTCGATGCGGTGATGTCGGTGAATCCGCTGCAGACGCCAGATCCTGTTCCCTCGGCAGCAGCTGCGGTCGAAATCGAGGCCCCGGATGCCTCATCCGGCACCGTTGGACTCCCAATATCTGCAAAAAATTTCCAAGATGCTAAGAAATTATTTTTCCTAAATTTCTTTTTTAGATTCTCATCACAGGGAAGGTTCCCTGTGATAAGAATCTAAAATACTAAGAAAAAGCAAACCTTGGGCGCTTCTTGCGACAATTAGCTCAACTACTCCACGAGCCTTTTGAAGAATTGCAATTGCCTGCTCATGGGAAATATTCGAGTCCAAGGGTTGTCCATCTATAGCTAAAATTTGATCTCCTTCCACGAGACGACCATCGCTGAAAGAAGGAACAATATTTATTAACTTTTCTTATTTGTTCTACTTCGTGTTCTGCGAGGGTCCCCTAAGAATTTTCCGAAAACATAAATTTCTGCCTCTAGACTTGAAATTACTTCTCGTATCATTGAAAGTAGTTATGCTAACTTAATAACAGGGATGCCACAAAAAATTTAATTTTGTATTTCCCTGAGGAGCCGTCCATAAACCACGTGGATGGCCCCTGATTTCTAAACTATTTTTTGACTGATTTTGACTTTTTCAGGACCCAAAAAATAATTTGTTTCACTCCAATAATTATTAGAAATTCAAAAAAGTGTTCTATTACATATTTATTTATAAATTTTTTTAATTGTAAAATTATTCAAAAACATCAATAAATTAGAGCTGAGCGAAATTAGAACTAGGCGAAAAAAATTGAACAGTTCGGTTAGAATTCTTTTGCACAGCTCTAGTCTCCACCCTTTAGTAAAAAATTTAAAATTATTAAAAACTATCAAAATTTCGAAGAACCGAATTTCTTAAAATTCAAGATTTTTCTTCTCTTTTATGGCTCGGTGAAACAAGCGACCCGCCGGCCGCCAGCCATCAGAAGAATCCATAGGCGCCGACACACACAGTAGCGCGGTGGCCCTATAAGGTTCAATCAACGCAAAAACAACGTACGCTAGCTATTACAGTTTATAGAAAAAATTGCAATAGTCACATTTTAAACAGCAATAATCTCCCTTTAATTTGTGACCAAGAAATAAAAATTAGGTCTAAAATTGTTCAAGTTATGAATTTTTTTCGATTTTTTTTTCCAATTTATTATGAATTACGAATACAAATTAAAACAAAAAATTAAACAAGGACTGTAGAAAATTGCAACCTCCACGCGGCACACTCTGGGGTAATGAATTTATTCATCAGCTAATCGCAGGGACAGAAACAACTTATGCAAACTAAAATCAATATAAAAACTTTAAAAAAAGTAATAAAAAAATTCGAAACTCAAACAGTTTTATAACAATTTTTTTTTTAATAGAAAATAAAAAAGGATTATCGCCTTTTAAGGGGTTAAACCACTCTAGAGCGTCAAAAAGAGGTTCTAATTTCAACATTTTTTTAAAAGAAAAGTTTAAAAGTAATGAGAAATATGTTTACATATCTCTATCAGGTACACTTTAAAGAGAACATAATATACTTTATAAATTTTTTTTTGTTTAAAAACTGCAGATGTACATGTACGTGATGGAAACCCTTTGTAAAAAGAAATCCTTCGCGGCCGGAAAGGTTTTTGGTACAATTTACAACCTAGAACAGAAAACAAATTTTTTTCTATTTTTACATCTCAATAGCTAGAGAAAGACGTAGGGGATTTTTTTTATGTTGCATATTTCTTTAGTTATAAACAATTTAGTGCCTATTTTTTTCAGTCAAAAATTCAGTTTTTCTATAAAATGTTCACCATTTTTGCAAAAATCGATTTAAAAAAAATCCCCTACGTCTTTCTCTAGCTTTTGAGATGTAAAAATAGAAAAAAATTTGTTTTCTGTTCTAGGTTGAAAATTGTACCAAAAACCTTTCCGGCCGCGAAGAATTTCTTTTTACAAAGGGTTTCCATCACGTACATGTACATCTGCAGTTTTTAAACAAAAAAAAATTTATAAAGTATATTATGTTCTCTTTAAAGTGTACCTGATAGAGATATGTAAACATATTTTTCATTACTTTTAAACTTTTCTTTAAAAAAATGTTGAAATTAGAACCTCTTTTTGACGCTCTAGAGTGGTTTAACCCCTTAAAATAAAACAATTGCAAATTTTTATTTTATTAAATTTTTAATAGCCAGCGTCCCCACCCGCCCGTATCAGAAAAACGAAAATGGAAAAAAAAGATGAAAAAAAATTCATAACTGGATCAATTTTCGACCAAATTCTTGTTTCTTGGTCGCAAATTAAAAAGGGATTAATGCTTCTTGTCATTGGACCAATAGGAATATAATTAAAAAATTTTTAATGGCCAGCGTCCCCACCCGCCCGTATCAGAAAAACGAAAATTAAAAAAAAATTGAAAAAAAATTCATAACTCGATCAATTTTCGACCAAATTCTTGTTTCCTGGTCGCAAATTAAAGAGAGATTAATGCTTCTTGTCATTGGACCAATAGGAATATAATTAAAAAATTTTTAATGGCCAGCGTCCCCACCCGCCCGTATCAGAAAAACGAAAATTAAAAAAAAATTGAAAAAAAATTCATAACTCGATCAATTTTCGACCAAATTCTTGTTTCTTGGTCGCAAATTAAAAAGGGATTAATGCTTCTTGTCATTGGACCAATAGGAATATAATTAAAAAATTTTTAATGGCCAGCGTCCCCACCCGCCCGTATCAGAAAAACGAAAATTAAAAAAAAATTGAAAAAAAATTCATAACTCGATCAATTTTCGACCAAATTCTTGTTTCTTGGTCGCAAATTAAAGAGGGATTAATGCTTCTTGTCATTGGAGCAATATTAATATGATTAAAAAATTTTTGATAGCCAGCGTCCCCACCCGCCCGTATTAGAAAAACGAAAATTAAAAAAAAATTGAAAAAAAATTCATAACGCGATCAATTTTCGACCAAATTCTTGTTTCTTGGTCGCAACTTAAAGAGGGATCAATGATTCTTGTCATTGGACCAATAGGAATATGATTAAAAAATTTTTAATAGCCAGCGTCCCCACCCGCCCGTATCAGAAAAACGAAAATTAAAAAAAAATTAAAAAAAAATTCATAACTCGATCAATTTTCGACCAAATTCTTGTTTCTTGGTCGCAAATTAAAAAGGGATTAATGCTTCTTGTCATTGGACCAATAGGAATATAATTAAAAAATTTTAATGGCCAGCGTCCCCACCCGCCCGTATCAGAAAAACGAAAATTAAAAAAAAATTGAAAAAAAATTCATAACTCGATCAATTTTCGACCAAATTCTTGTTTCCTGGTCGCAAATTAAAGAGAGATTAATGCTTCTTGTCATTGGACCAATAGGAATATAATTAAAAAATTTTTAATGGCCAGCGTCCCCACCCGCCCGTATCAGAAAAACGAAAATTAAAAAAAAATTGAAAAAAAATTCATAACTCGATCAATTTTCGACCAAATTCTTGTTTCTTGGTCGCAACTTAAAGAGGGATCAATGATTCTTGTCATTGGACCAATAGGAATATGATTAAAAAATTTTTAATAGCCAGCGTCCCCACCCGCCCGTATCAGAAAAACGAAAATTAAAAAAAAATTAAAAAAAAATTCATAACTCGATCAATTTTCGACCAAATTCTTGTTTCTTGGTCGCAAATTAAAGAGGGATTAATGCTTCTTGTCATTGGACCAACAAGAATATGTTTAAAAAATTTTTAATGGCCAGCGTCCCCACCCGCCCGTATCAGAAAAACGAAAATTAAAAAAAAATTGAAAAAAAATTCATAACTCGATCAATTTTCGACCAAATTCTTGTTTCTTGGTCGCAAATTAAAGAGGGATTAATGCTTCTTGTCATTGGACCAACAAGAATATGTTTAAAAAATTTTTAATGGCCAGCGTCCCCACCCGCCCGTATCAGAAAAACGAAAATTAAAAAAAAATTGAAAAAAAATTCATAACTCGATCAATTTTCGACCAAATTCTTGTTTCTTGGTCGCAAATTAAAGAGGGATTAATGCTTCTTGTCATTGGACCAACAAGAATATGTTTAAAAAATTTTTAATGGCCAGCGTCCCCACCCGCCCGTATCAGAAAAACGAAAATTAAAAAAAAATTGAAAAAAAATTCATAACTCGATCAATTTTCGACCAAATTCTTGTTTCTTGGTCGCAAATTAAAGAGGGATTAATGCTTCTTGTCATTGGAGCAATATGAATATGATTAAAAAATTTTTGATAGCCAGCGTCCCCACCCGCCCGTATCAGAAAAACGAAAATTAAAAAAAAATTGAAAAAAAATTCATAACTCGATCAATTTTCGACCAAATTCTTGTTTCTTGGTCGCAAATTAAAGAGGGATCAATGATTCTTGTCATTGGACCAACAAGAATATGTTTAAAAAATTTTTAATGGCCAGCGTCCCCACCCGCCCGTATCAGAAAAACGAAAATTAAAAAAAAATTGAAAAAAAATTCATAACTCGATCAATTTTCGACCAAATTCTTGTTTCTTGGTCGCAAATTAAAGAGGGATTAATGCTTCTTGTCATTGGAGCAATATGAATATGATTAAAAAATTTTGATAGCCTGCGTCCCCACCCGCCCGTATCAGAAAAACGAAAATTGTAAAACAAGTTCAAAAAAAATTCATAACTCGATCAATTTTTGACCAAATTCTTGTTTCTTGGTCGCAAATTAAAGAGAGATTAATGCTTCTTGTCATTGGACCAATAGGAATATAATTAAAAAATTTTTAATGGCCAGCGTCCCCACCCGCCCGTATCAGAAAAACGAAAATTAAAAAAAAAATTGAAAAAAAATTCATAACTCGATCAATTTTCGACCAAATTCTTGTTTCTTGGTCGCAAATTAAAAAGGGATTAATGCTTCTTGTCATTGGACCAATAGGAATATAATTAAAAAATTTTTAATGGCCAGCGTCCCCACCCGCCCGTATCAGAAAAACGAAAATTAAAAAAAAATTGAAAAAAAATTCATAACTCGATCAATTTTCGACCAAATTCTTGTTTCTTGGTCGCAAATTAAAGAGGGATCAATGATTCTTGTCACTGGACCAACAAGAATATGTTTAAAAAATTTTTAATGACCAGCGTCCCCACCCGCCCGTATCAGAAAAACGAAAATTAAAAAAAAATTGAAAAAAAATTCATAACTCGATCAATTTTCGACCAAATTCTTGTTTCTTGGTCGCAAATTAAAGAGGGATTAATGCTTCTTGTCATTGGAGCAATATGAATATGATTAAAAAATTTTGATAGCCTGCGTCCCCACCCGCCCGTATCAGAAAAACGAAAATTGTAAAACAAGTTCAAAAA